CTTCCACCATGACTCAGAAAATTTCGGGAGATACAAGAGACTGCCTTGAAAATCAAAGTAATTTAATGGTCTGTCTTTGATCCTTCTCCTTTTAAATCACACTTTTGATCAGGTCCTCCTGTGCATGACAAAACTGAGGAAGTTTGGTTTTCTGTGGAATTGTGTCTTGAGGTGGATTTTTGGTGAGTATTTTCTGATGTCTAACCAAGGGCTGAGCTCACTCTGCTGCCTTCCTTCTGTGAGGGACAGTGTTCCCACTCCTTTACTCATCTGCCCATTTTTATAGGAACTTGACATACTGAGGATTTTAGTACTTTCTCGAGTGTGATTGAGACTGATGAAAGAGTTCATCAGGTGGTGGGGAAAGGCTTCCATGCACACAGACACAGAGTGATGTCATATGGCATTTCTTTTTCTTAGAAAACCGTGTAAAATTCTTTTCTACCAGAACAGAGTTAGATTCTCCACTTCTCTCAGAATAGACTCAGTCTCATCTGAAATGTTTTTCTACCTCCATTCCCTTCCCCATCATTTATTTTACAAGTGACGGTTACCAAAGCTTGAGCACAGCTATGCCTCTGTGAGCTTTCCTACTGCAAAACGTTTTGTGAAGGGACTTCTCTGTGAAAAACACCATCTACCAAACTATTTTTGTTTTGGTTTGATGGAGACCTTTCTGAGCCTGGTTTGTGCAGCAGCTGCCTTTCCTTACAGGTGAAAAAGTCAGTACACTTTTTTCTGAATCATAGCTGGGAATAAGAACCAGCTTCCTCTGCAAGCACGGGCATGTCATCAACCCAAGGAGAACGTGAGACCATGAGTGTGGAGGGTTTTGCTTATACTGGGAGATCTCTTAAGTCATTCCTTGTCTGGGTAACCTGCTGCTTGTGGAAGGACAGAGTGAAGGGAGCCTTGGGTCGTGGCCTTCACCCTTGTGTGGCACTAGCTATGGGTGCTGCTGTGACTTTCTCACTTTGGTCTTGATTTCTAAACAAATCCAAAGAATAACAACCCTGGGAGCCCACCACCCAGACTACACTATGCTTCTTAAAAAACAAGGGCCACCGAGGTGGCCATCCTTTCAATTTTTTCCTGTGCGGGGGGTGAGGCAGTGGCCGAGGTTGCCCAGAGAAGCTGTGGATGCCCCATCCCTGGAGGGGTTCAAGGCCAGGCTGGATGAGGCTTTGGGCAACCTGGGCTGGTGGGAGGTGTCTCTGCCCATGGCAGGGGGTGGGACTGGATGGGCTTGAAGGTCCCTTCCAACCCAAACCTTTCTGTGATTCTATGATTCTATGTTCCTGGTTACTGGCTAGTGCATCCTTGATCCCAAGGGATGGTTGTTTCCTCTTAGATGCTTCTGTGGTGGTGATGGAGAAGGTCTTTGCCTCCACTCCACCTAACTTTTAGCTGGGTTTTCCATTAACAGAAGTGCCAGTGAAGCCTCTATGGTTGTGTGACTTAAGAGAGTTTCTCTGTCTATTCTCTCTCTGATAAAGGCTTGACAGAGGATTGAGCTTTCCCTCACCTGCGCATCTTACTTCCATTAGACTTAGAAAAATCCAGACTAGGATACATCCCACCTCCCTGCAAATACCTGCAGCGCAGACACCATCAGCTGGTTAATTGGGCAGCTTTTGTAGTCAAGGGAGAGCAAGAGGCAGCTGGACACCACAATTCATCTCCTCCTAGGAAGCATGTCCAAGATTGGTCAGGTGGGTCACACCTTCAGACACTCTCCTGATAGATAAAGGGAGCTTTGGACGACTATGACTGATTGATCTGGTATTGGTGTTGCTTGGACCTTCAGAGGTCCCCTCCAACTACCATCTCCAGCATGCCATGACTAGCTGAGATGAAGACACAGATGTCTGAGATGTTTTGTAGATGAATCCCTACAAAACACCTGTAAACTCCTGGCCCACATCTCTGCAAAGCCTCCAGTCTTTGCTAAGGGAGGAGGTACCCCGGCACAACCCACACAGCCACCCCCAGACAAAGCCTGGTAGAGCTCTACTGCACACCCAGCAAAAGGTACGACCCCCACAATCGTTATGTGGGTAATTAGGATTTCATCTCTTGGTGAACAACCAGCTGCTTAAAGAGTCTCATTAGCCACAGAAAATGTTAATTTGGTTAAAAGTCCAGGCGATGGCATCTTGTGCTTGGGGACATGTCTCACAAACCCACCAGTGAGTTAAATTACTCAGCTGATAAATAGACTGCGGAGGTATTGGGGAGTTTGAGCTGATTTAAAGAGTCTTTGTAGATTATTCAAGCATGGAGAAATGGCTGACAACATTTGGCACACGCATAGGTCCTGTTATTTCAAATTACTGGTTATTTCAGCTTTGCAACACGGATGTAACCAATACTACTCCTGTGTAACTGATGTGGAAACTATTCTGCAGAGATTTGCAAAGATGTGTGCAGCCTCACACAGGCACCGGTGACAGAGCCAGTACAGAAGTTTCTGATTGCTACGGCAATGCTAAGGAGAGCTGGGAGTCTTTTGTCAGTTGACAAATTTGCTTATCACAAGAAGGATAATCAGACAAGTCAGGCAACAGTGCCAGTCAGTGACAACTTCTTGCAAATTCATGTCAAATAGAAAAAAAAAAAAAGTCAAAACATTTCAATATTTTTAGAAGAAAATAGATCACTTATTCATTTCATTTTGGTGTGGCAGTTCATTTTGAAATGTATCTGAGAACTCATTTTTGAATAAATTCCCATTCACTCTTTTCTTAAATTGAAAGTTTCACCCCAATGGAAAGTGATTTTTGTGTTCCATTTTCATTTAAAATGTGTATCAATATCATTTCCACCTGGCCCCAAATTATTTCACCTAAGTTTGTCTAACAAGCAAATAAAAAATCCATTCTACTTAACCCTTTACAATCCTCTTCTCAAGGAGAATTGGCCCCAGCATGTTTCAGTTGGTGGATTTACTGGTTTCTCTGGGTTTCAGACCTGTCTCCTGAGCTGTAAAATCTAAGATTAGGCTTTGCAGAAGCTTCTGTTCTCTTTCGAGATAGCACTGAACATTTCTCAGCTTTGAATGGGAAATTGCAATTAATAAAAGAGGGGTGAAATCAAAGGCAGCATATTTTGTGGTCATAAAATAAATGAACCTTTGCTGTGTTTATGTTACATGTATAATACAGCAGGAAGTAAAGATCAAAACTGTTTATAAAGAACTTGGCAAGTTGTGTGCTTGGAGAAAGCAAACGGGTTCATGGGAGGTACTTAAAGGATGAAGTTTGGATTTTTAGCTGGTGTAAATCCACATATCCCCTTTAACTGCAGTGCTTGGGTAGTGATCTACATCAGTGGTGAGGTTGATTCAAGGGTTTCACAGGAGAAGAGGTATAGTAAAACAAAATAAAGTATTTTTTCTGATGACAAGTATTTGCCTGATGTTTGTTCTCTATTTCCAAGTACTGGGAAGAACTCAGAGGAACAGGATCCTAATTCCCAGCTTCATTAGTAAAGGTGTGGAAGGTTTGGAGCCCGTTCCTGCCCTGCTGATCGGCTGAGTATCAGACTGGGGCTGCCCAGAGAGCTCAGCCCTCAAGTACTGGAATCTCCCTGAGCCCCACAATTCCCAAACCATTTATTTGCAGGCTACAGAAATCCCCCAATGTACCTGATCAATGAAAGAGAAACTGAGGCACGGTCAGACGGGATAATTCATTGCAGTGAGAGGAGTTCACAGCAGCCTTCCTGCTCCCTGCCTGAGTTATACCATGAACCCCCATGCTCATATAGGGTGAGAACTCTTCCCAGCAGCAATTTCCCTCCTATAGAGAGCTGAGAGAAACTCGTCAAATACCAAATCTGAGATATTTTGAAATACCAATATGAGATCAAAACCTCAGCAGGTTAAATTAGTCCTGTGGTCACGATGCTGTTTCCATTGACTTAAGAGGCAGCCTCAAGCTAGAGGATTTGAGAAAAAAGTGCAGAACTTGCTATAAAATTTCCCTGGCTGCAGAATTACTTGGACACAAGTCCCCGGTGGGGACATGTGGGTCCCACTCAGCAGATGGAGTGACAGACCTCTCTCTCCTCTATATTAATAAGTTAAATCTCTTCCCCCCCCCGCCCCCACCTCAGGTTTAGCTACACCACTCCAGAGGGTTAATCCCATCCGGATCCCATCCCGGTGCCTGCTGTTAGTTGAGGTGTGATGAAGAGCACTGGTTTTCCTACACTTTATGGGCTGTGGGTAACATTGGTGCTGGAAGGGGACGCTGTCTGGACACCATCCCCGTGCTGCTCAGCCTCCTCTGCAAGTAGGGGGCTGCATCCTTTGCATCCAGGCAAACAACTTGCCAAAACTTCCCAGCACAACCCATCAGACAACCCTAGATGAGCACCCAGTGACACGGGCACCGTGGCAGGGACAGGAGCTGAGGGCATGATGCTGCAGGAGGTGGGTCAGCCCTGGCAGGACCATCACCCTTGTAGATAAGCCCTGATCCTGCTCCAAGTCCCTGCACAGCACTGGCATCTCAGAAAGTCAGCAAGAGTTATGCTTTAGACTCTGACATGCTCCTCAGGTGGATCAAACCTCACCCATCTCCAACACCTTCACCAGTTCACAACAGGTGGGAGCCCTGGACCCACGGAGGCAGATCCCCCAAAGTGGGAGGGAGGGGGTGGCAGAGCTGTTTGGAGACCCCAGTCCCATAACAACAGCTTGAAACAGAGCTGCTTCCTCCTTAGCCTGAACTTCATCAATCAGACTGCTGGAGAACGAATTCATTAAACCAATTATTACGCTGCTATTCTATTCATTTGCTATTTACTTTGATTGATTATATGATTCTGATTAATAAATATTGAATAAGTGTTAATTAATTGAGTTAATCCATTGCTGGCTACCTATCCCTCACCTCCACGCATGTGTTGTGTCCTGAAAGTTTTTCCCAAAGAGCAATTTCCCGGGGGCTCACCCAGGGGCAGCAGGGCTGGGATGGGGTGACAGGGTCACTTACCAAAAGGCAGGACAAAGAAGAAGGGGAACCAGCAGAGGATGAAAACACCCACGACGATGGCAAGAGTCTTGGCTGCTTTTTTCTCACGGGAGAACTTGAGGAGCCGCACGGAAAGGGAACTCCTGAAGTTGTGCCCCTTGCTCCGGGTGCTGGAGAGGGGTTCCTCCAGCACGCTGCGGCAATGGATGCGCAGTACCACCTCCATGGATTTATTCCTCTCCTTCTTGACCCCTGCCTCCAAGCTCTGGGTGGTTCTTCTGGCCACCACGTAGATCCTGAAGTACATCACCAGGATGACCATGAGGGGCAGGTAGAAGGAGAAGAGGGAGGAGAAGACGGCGTAGCCCGGTTCCTCTGTGATGCTACAGATGCTCTCATCCGGCGGTGGCGGCTCCTTCCATCCCAGCAGTGGCCCGATGGAGATGACCATGGATGAGAGCCAAACCACCACGAGGATGACCCCCGCTTTCCTCTCGGTCATGATCGTGGGGTACTTGAGAGAGTACTTGACGCCGATGTACCTGTCCACGGAGATGATACACAAGCTCATGATAGAGGCAGAGCAGCACAGCACGTCCACCGCTGCCCAGATGTTGCAGAAGATGCGCCCAAACACCCAGAAGCCCAGCACCTCCAAGGTGGCCGAGAAAGGCAGCACGGTGGTGCTGAGCAGCAGGTCGGCAATGGCCAGGTTGACAACCGTCTGCAGGTGTCGGTTGCAAGCCACTGAGAGGATGACGAGGATGTTCCCCACGATGGCCGAGAGGATGAAGATGGCCAAGAAGACCCCGATGCCCACCGCTTGCACGTCCAAGGCGAAAGTCAACGTGGTGCCGTTCCCCTCGGTGGTCTCCTCACTTTGCAGCCCCCAGGACCGGTTGGCACTGCTTTGGCTGCCCTGTCCCGTCCGGTTCTCACTCAAGCTGCCATTGCTCAGCTCAGGGAAAGTCATTGTAGAAAAAGTCCGGGCTCCATGGAGGGCGAGGAGAAAGCGATGCCGAGACACAGCCCCCTCGGCATGATCACTGAGGACCCCTCCAA